ATTTATGGGATTTCAATTTGCAAATAAACATTTAACAGACAATGCTATAATCAAATGCAAAATATCAGTTTTCAATTAATAAGGCAGTCATTTGTACATGAATTTTACAATGTCTAAATATTAAAAAACAGTAGAAAGAAATCTCACAATTTTACTAAAAGCATAAATATCACATTTATTTCTAATAATTTTACAATATCTAAAATTTTCTAACAATAGATAAGAAAAATAAATAAATTTATTTCTAAGAATTTACAGCATTTAAAATTTCTAACATAGATAAAATATCACAATTTTACTAAAACGATTATTTTTCAAAATAATGAGGTCGTTTGTGCATAAAATTTATTGCGTCTAAAATTCATGATAATAAGCTGAAGTAATAAATTTCTTTTCATTTTTAAAAAGAACGGATTATTTTTTTCAAGATAATGAAGTCACTTACCTAAAATATTTGAGAAGGAGCTTCCGATAAAAATTCGGTTAGAGGGAGGAGCTCACTGTGTTTGTAAGAGGGAGAGCGAGAAAGGAGTTGTTAAGCGACGCCTTACCTTTCGTCCTAATTAATTTCTTTAAAACGACTCCATCATGTGTATGAGGTGTCTCGTAATTAACCACTTTTAACAAACCACTTTTAACACCTGAAAACCACGTCCACTAAAGGACGTGGCAAGGCAAGCAAAAGCTTAAGGTAAAAGCTTTTGAAAGTAGTTATGGTCCCTAAGGACCATCATGCTATATGAACTATCACTTATTAAAAGTTTCATTTCTTTTCTATTCTTTTTTTTTTTTTTTTTTTGAAATTTTAGGATTATTACAGATGTCCACCTAATTAGGGGTATTGGAGTCCTCGTTCAACTTGGGCGAGTCTTGATTTTGATCGTAGACAAGGAAAATAATTTTCTAATGAAAAAATGAAATATGGTTGGAATTACCAAGACTCCGCTATCACATGTGACTCGGATAAGTCTTGAGTTGGGCATTTGTGAAAATTTTGGTTAGACCCTCCAATTGATTATCTGGACCTTGAGATAAATAGAAATGAAAAAAAAAAAATAGAAGCTAAAATTTTGTAGCATATGATCTGGACTGTACATTTTTAATATTTTAACGTTTTTATAGATTTGTTTGATCTGCATTGTTTTTGAAGCTTTAAATGTCATAATGAGAGTTGTGAAGGGATTTTTAGATCATTATAGGAGTTTCTGATACTATAACTGCATCTTGTAAAAATAAACTACAGATTTACAGATTTAAGAACCTGAAAAACATGCAAATCTTTCTTGGATCGTTGCTCATGATTGCCGAAAAACAAGAATAAAATAGTAAATGTAAACATATCTTCCATGATCTAATAATGAGATAAAAGAGTTTG